GCACACGTACACCCTCCCAAGTTAAATAGGCCGGGCCAGCATCTCCCCGCCCCTGCCATTCCTCTCTCCCGCCTCTTATCCCACAATCCCAGACGCGCCGGCTGGCCTGCTCTGGCTCCTTTGATCCCCCGGACGCCTCACTGCTAGCGGCGTCCAGGCCGAGCCGTCCTGGGAATCACCCCAGCGCGCCTCGGCCGAGCAGCTCCTGCCTCCTGCAGAGCGCCCCCCGACAGCGATAGTCTCCGCAGGCCCCCAGCCCGAAGCACACTGGTTGCTGCTGCAGCCCTGCCCTGACACTCCCACTGTCCTCAGCTCTTTTTTGTATTCGGAATTAGAGGACCTTTAGGGATTCCCAGCCACCCCTCCCCGCCCATCCCCGCAGCCCCTGGGATGGCGCGCCTCCCACTGGCCACAGAGATCTCGCCAGCCTAGAGCTCTCCAGCCCTCCGGGGAGGCGCACCCTGAGGCCGAACCCCTCGGCACCTCTGGGAAGGGCGCCAGAAGCCAGTGGATACACCCTCACGCACCCCTCCCACAGAGGCTGGGGGAAGCTCCCACCTCTCCGAGGCTTGGGGAGGGGGCGCTATTACCTGCTTTCGCCCTCGGCTCGCTTTCCCAAGTTGCCCGCGGACCTTGCACGGTACTTGGTTCTATCAACCCAGGCCGGGTCACAGCAAACTTTGAACCTCGAAAATAGCGCAAATAGCAGTGACACATGTGGGACTGGTTAATTTTTTCTACGCAGCCTGTCTCTTTCCTCCAACCCTGACGTTTTCTTTTCCTTTTGACAGGCTTTAGATTTCTCAGTGGTGCAGGGCAGAAAGCATACACGATACTATCTACTGCGGGGACAGGACGGGGTGAGGAGTTGAGGGAAACGTCCCTTTCCATCCTCGGGGCTGCTGGTTGTAATGTTATAAGCTGTTTTATAGGTCGGGCTCTAACCGTGAAGATAGGAAGCGAGGGAATTTACATAAGTCTCTCTTGAAAGGAGATGAGAGTCGCTTTTTGCAGCAATTAAATGTTTCTGCTCCTCTGTTCACTTGAACTTCTTATTTATTTCTGATTTATGGGGACCTGAAGGAGTCTTTTTGCCAAAACACATGTATTATTGAGTCTGTTCCACATCCTAAACCAAGATTTATAAAAAACCGTGAAATACCACACATTACGACCTTTCACCACAGGAAGAAAAAAATGGCTTCATAACATCATTCTACCCACAGGCGGGCGCGCGCGCGCGCGCGCGCGCGCACACACACACACACACACACACACACACTTCTGGTTTCAGTAACAATTTTCTATGGAATCTCCACAATACAAAATCTATTTTTTTTAAAGTGGGTGGGGGTGAAGGACAGTAAACATTTCCTAGGCTATGATTTACTTTAAAGTTTGTTTTTTTTTCTTGAAAGGTGTGAAGACAGAAACCACCACTGGAAGCTTATTGTCAAACAAGGACTATTTCTGCCACTTGCCATTTGCAAGGTGGGGAAAAGAGGGGTGGAGGGAGAGACTAGATATGGACTCAACTTTCATCTATAAACAGGGGTCAGTAAACAGGGGACATTTCTTTATTGGCCTTAAATTCACAGGAGCTAGGAAGCCTGCTTGCCACCCTCCAGTGTGGCCCTGGCTGGGCAGCTCCGGGAGAGAGGAGGGAGAATCAACACACAGGAGCCTAGAGGCTGGAAAAGATGACCAGACATTCTCCATTTATAGTGGGAAAATCTGAACTCCTGGGGATAGAAGAGCTTTAGGTATCCTTGACCAGGAGGTCCCCACCAGGAAACAGATTAGCCTGAGGAGTTCTTCACCAGACCAGGGCTTATTCTCGCAGAAGTAATAGCTGGGATTCTCAGAGGGCCTGTTCCCCAGCCCCTCTCTAGCCTCTCTCCTCTCTCATCCTGTACCTCTTTGGCCCTCTTATATTGTAAGTAAACTGGCCTTGCTCTTTTAGATATATGGTGACACATAACAAAAGAAGCAGCTGGGCTGATTTATATGGGGGTTTGTAAGATACATAATTTGTGACGTTTAATTAATAAAAGTTAATAATGGAATTAAAACCAATAGCCAGCTAAGTCAACTGGAGGAGATGTCTTCCCATTCAGCTATATTTAATTAGGAGCAATCGATATGTTGTCTGCTAATATCCTCTAGGACTCTCCCTGACTTTTTCTCTGTGAAAGAAGGTGGAGAAGGTAAAGATGGAGCATGGGAACACTTAAAAGCACCCAGGGTGTTCTGCTCTGATGACAAGAGATTGCACATTCATTTAAGGAAATGTTCATAAACCAGTGACAAGCACACTGTGGGGCAGCTCTTATGGAAACAATAATAAAACTGACAAATATTCTTTGCTTTGGGGAGGGGCACTTTTTTAAAGTAGGAAAATGCTTTGGGAGAAAAGAGAAAGACAAGAAATTTTTAAAAAGAAAGAAAGAAAAAGAAAAAGAAAAATTACTTCAGACTCCAGGCAGCAGCAGCAGATGCAGCAGCCCTTGCAAACACATCAGCCCTGCACTATTGAGGATTTGGACACGTAATGCTTCAGACCACTGATTTGCTATTTTCTTAATTCCTGCTCTTCTTTTTCCATATGAATCAAACAGTCTTTTGTCCTTCAGGGTTTGATTTGATCGCTACTGTTCACATTTCACTTTTGTATTTTCCTCTTCCTATACCATTACTCATTGAGTGCCCTGTGAAATTACAATCGTACATTTTCAACTCAGCAACCCATTTGCAGTGCAAAAATAGGGTCTAAATAATGGCTGAATTAGCCCTACTGGACAGTTTCAGATGTAACACTCTGTAATAATTATATTGCAGGCTGGATTAGGATGCTATTATCATAATCTGGACGTTTACAATTATCTGTAATTTGCAAAGATGCGCCAGGTCTTGATTACAGCAGTTTTTTTTTTTTTGTATCACGCTAACCATCACTAAACAGTGACAGTAATAACAGCTAATTTTGCTGGCAATATAAGAGGTGCTGGGGTGTGCAAACAATTTCACACCTGGATGTGCTCACTCAACCAAGAATATAGAGAAAGAGCTTCTGTCCTGAGACTCAGAAAAATATTCTCCTCTGCTTCGGTTCAGTGTAGATTTCTAGACCCTGATCATTGCTTAAGAAGTATTCACTGGGGGTAAGTTTTTATTTCTTGCATACTTCAAGGCACAGTTCATATTTCTCTTCTCACGCTTTCCAACCTATATGTGTTATTGTTGTAATTTATTGTGGACTACAACTTTGCTTTATAGATTTTTCAGTTCTGCCTTTTTATCCCCCTTTAACAGTAAGAGTTGTTGTTCTGGTGAGTAATAGGGTTCCGATCAGACTGGGATCCTTAAGAACCTGATTTCTCTTTCTAGTTTTCTGTGTTGCTGATGTGTTTGGTGCAATTGGTGATGGGAGAGTGTGAAAAGGGCTGGGTTTCTTTAGGGTGTGGAAGGAGCCTGAAAGTCCAAGCTCAAATGTATTTGAGAATTGTTATTCACAGTTAATCCTAGGTGAATCCATTGAGATCTTTACATGTGGCCATGATTTTAGGTTTTGAGGAATCAAGAGATGAAACGGGGAGCTCCTTCGGAAACAGGGGCTCATTCAGAATCACAGGCATGCAGACTTTCGCAGAGACAGGTGCGCCTGAATCTCTTGATTTTGTAGTCTCTTGGTCATCCTTCATCCCTTTAGAAGAAAGTTTTAGGAGTGAATGTCCTCTGAAATCCTTCCAGGTTGTTTTCAGGCCCTTCAAGGTGTGAATGTGTGTGTGTGCTTGTGCGTGTGTGTGTGTATGTACACGCGCGCGCGTGTGCAGGGGGTGAGGCTGGGGGTGGGTACTCGGATCCTGGAGTTTATTGCCCACAGAGCGCAAACGCCTAGGCCTTGAGGTTGAAGGGGCACGATTGGCTGAGAAGCGAAACCTAGCTGCAGAGCCAAGGAAGCTGTCTGGTTTAGGAAAGCACCAAGGAAGATCCCAGCTGAAAGCGGTGTTGTTCTATCTGCAGATGACGCTGTTTCCTGGCTCCGTAGACATTATAAGCAGCTAGAAATGGTGAGTGTAGGAGCCTGAGAAATCTTTGGTTTTCCCACCCCAGAACAGAAAAAGCCTTTATCCTAGAGCAGGCAGGAATCTTCTGACTAAATTGTATCAAAAGATAAAGAGATGCTTATTGACACCAAGGAGAAATTGTCTCCTTCACCCTTACCCAGCCACAAACTCTATACCTGCAGCTATTGTTCTCTCTCCCTCTCTCTCTTTTCAAAATGGGAAATATGGTCAGGACTCCGCTTGGGAAGTCGAACTCTACAACCTTGGGGAAGTTGGAACGTAGGGAGGCGTAGTAGGCAGCGCAACTGGGCGACGCCTTTCACCCACGCCCCTCCTACCAAACCCTCCCTCCGGGGAATCGGTTTACTAGGGGGTCAATACATTCTAAAGAGCGAAAATATTAACCCTTGAGGCTCAGAAGCTCCGGAGGAAGCCGAGTTTCAAGGGCAGTTTTAGGGGGACTCCTCGGCAGAATTTAATTAAACTCATGTTAAGAGATAAAGAGCTCGATACAGATACATCATATTAACACCTCCAATACGTTAACATACGTTTTCTGGTTTTCAGAGTTCCATGCACACACAGTGGTTTGGCATGTATCTGGTGATTTTTTTTTTTTTTTAGAGAAAAATTAGTGTTGGTTTCGATGTATGGTAGCTTTCCCTCTAACGTAATTTGAATAATTCAGCAAAGCCTCACTACCAGCTGTACTTCTGCAGCCTCTTCCATTCTTTTCAGCATTATAATTTTGGTTAATTTTCAATTTTAGGTCCTACGTCTCTGCAATTTGTGTATGAATAACAGAATAATTTCCCTCTTTTGTTTCGCCTTTCCTGTTCCTGAATCTAAATAAAGATGGCTTTTTAGTATTAAAAGTGGAAGAAAATTACAGGTAATTATCTTTGACGGTAAAAACGCTGTAATCAGCGGGCTACATGAAAAATTACTCTAATTATGGCTGCATTTAAGAGAATGGAAAAAAACCTTCTTGTGGATAAAAACCTTAAATTGTCCCCAATGTCTGCTTCAAATTGGATGGCACTGCAGCTGGAGGCTTTGTTCAGAATTGATCCTGGGGAGCTACGAACCCAAAGTTTCACAGTAGGAAGGGGGAAAAAGAAAAGAAAACATTTTTCCTAATGTAACAATGCGAATGCTAGAAAATGACAAGACTGATCGGTTTTAAACCATTCTGAAGACTGACTGAGCGTGGAAGTTGCTCAACAAAAAAAGGAACGGGTATATTGGTAAGTAGTCTTTGCTTTGTGTCTAATTATAGTGACTGTCCTTTTGCACGACTGTATGTCGCTGTCATTATATGGAGCACTCTGAGTATCTCTATTGACTTCTGATAAATGGCTCAGTGGTTTCAAGGTTCATAATTTGAAGGATGCCCAGGTCTGTAGCCATTAATTCTCACAGTATGGGGCTTCCTGCTTGTATGACGAAAGGACTTTTCATTTTCATTATTTCTTTGCTTTCTATAAGATCGGAAGGATGTATTTCATCAAGGATAGTACATTTTTCCTACCTAGCTTGCAGTGGGTTTTAAACATTAAATAGGCATAATTGTGTCCTTTACTTTCTGATTTTTTCTTTATTCTTTCTTCTTTTTTCATTAAAAATTGCCTCCAAACAAAGATAAACACAGCTGTATTATTTTGTCTGGGAAAAGGTAAAGGGGAGCACTCAGTTTCAGTACTAGCAACTACTGGCTATTTAGGGGTAAACCTGGGGATAGCTCATTCTAGCATTTAAAAAGATAGATATATGTGTAGAAATTACAATAAAAATTAACATGTAAAAGAAAGCTGAGAAAACATCCATGGTTAATGGTGAGGTACTTAAGACAAAGGCTAGAAGTGCAAAGTGACATCTTTTCAGGCACTTGATGTTTATATATAGGGCTTCCCACATTAGAAAATAGAAATTCTTTTCAGAGTGATAGAAAATATGATGGGAGGGAGGAAAAAAGGGGAGGAGAGAGACAGGAGCACACAGAGAAATATACAGACACTCCCAGAATTTTGTGGCTTTTACTCCATATATGAAAGAAGACAAAAACATACAAAGTATATATACAACTAAAATTCAACAATATATACAGAAATGCTTCTTGATATAAACGTTTCTATAAGCTTTGTGAATGCCACCAATTCACCTAGTAAAGGTGTCAAAGCAACAGAATGGTGATTTTGGTTGTTTTCTCTGTCTTTCCTGATTGCAGTTCAAGGTTTGGGGGTGGGGTAGGGAAAGAGACTTTTTCTTGTTGTTGTTTGTTTGTATTTTAAATGAATCATCATTTCTGGTCATTGCATTTTGATAAAACATGCAGCATTCCTCTCGTGGCAATGTTCTAATCTTACAGCCGAGTTTTCCATTTTCTTTAGAGAAGGGTTGTTATGTGAGGGTTTTTTATTTTTCTTTTTCTTTTTTGTCAGTCTGGGATTAGTAAATAAAAATGCAGGAGTCCAAAATGCTTCTCTTTCACCATGAAATGTCTTAAGCTCATTAAACAAGTAAAAATGCTGCCATGTTTGTGCAGATTCTTCTGGTGGGGAGAAATGTCTGTAAAAAAAAGTCATTTTGATGGATACTCCCAAAGAGAAGAGGAGGCTCAGAGCCTGAATCCCAAGGGGTAAGGGAAAATATCCTTACAATGAGGGGTTTTCAGAGCGCTGGCACAGAGACTAGTCTCTCTTCTCTCTCCTTTTCTCCTCTCTCTCTCTCTCTGAAATATAAGAAATTACTAAGGTTGTTCAAGGAAGAAGGCAGTTGAGGAAAGGACAGGAAAGTAAAGGGGAAAACAGAATGAATGAATAAAACATAAGAAAAAGTGAGAAATGGAGGGGGAAAGGGGAGAAAGGGGGACAAGGGGTAGGGAAAAGGAGAGAGGGAGAGAGAGGGGGAGAGAGAGAGAGAGAGCACCCCAGCCAGCTCCTGGCCACACATACAAGTTCTCCTGAGCCTGCTCCTCTGGCTCGGCTTGGCAGACACAAGCAGGTCCAGGGTCCTCCCTGCCTTGTTTAGGCATCCCCTCTGTTCCCTCTGACAGCTCACATCATCTGGGGTCTCTGCATCGTGTCCTGGTGTGGAGAGGAGTACCAGTGCGAATAGCCAGGCATGTAGCTGTTAGGGGGCATACTGACGCCCTTGGCAGAGGCAGAAACGTCCCACACTGGAGGCAGCGCTGGCGAACGCGGTGACAGGGCTGCGGAGCCTGGGAGGGGGTCGCTCTCATGCGGGTTACTGCCCTGCTTCAGCAGCTTCTTAAACTTAGACCGCTTGTTCTGAAACCATATCTTCACCTGTAAGAAATGCAGCAATCATTAGGCCTGATAAATACTGAACCAGGGCCTCTAGTGTCACTACAGGCTTAAGAAGCAAATATGGGGCCCTCCACCCACCACGGCACTGGGAGACCAAGTCTCACCTCCCCCTACCTCTTTCTAGCCTCCTCCACCCTCCACCCCCAACCTACTAGAGCTCTGCCTGGATACCTAGAGTCCCCGTGATTCTTGAGCTGGATACTGTCCCGGGTTTAAAACATCAACATAAGTGAGAATAACATAAGAAAGTAAAAGAGATAAACAGGTACCAAATTTGATGAAGAATTTTTAAAATAAGCACTTTCCATATCAAAGCCATACAACTGAATGCACTTTCCCTAACAGTCTGTTTTTATATTTACCAATCTCCAAAGCTGGCATCTGTATGCATGTTCAGTGAGCAAATGACTATGAATAGATTAAAGTCTGTATATTTACAACCAAATATCTTGAACATACCTAGGCATATAGTGCCCATTGCTATAGAGGATTCGTGGTGCATCTTTCTCCAGACATAAATATAACCATATAGTCTTGCAGCCACTAAGGATTGTACCTCCCCCATTCTCTACTTTGTACATTGCTTAGTCAAACTGGAGTCAACAATCATCACATGATTGTTAGTGCAGTCATTGAAAGTAGAAAGCTTCTGAAAACTAAACATGAATCAGAAATCTGGGATAGGAACCTATGTAGGCTGACCTCCCTGATCTACTTTATTTGAAGAAGAAACTTCTATGGTAAATCTTTCTTCACCTTTAAATCTGCTCTTGCAAGAATAATACAAAGTCACTAGCTAGTAGCACTTTATGTCACTCCCAATATTTTCAGTGGCAATATGGCAAGAGAGAGAACAGGCTAGACTGAAAAGAAGAGCTTACAAGACTGTGTATTTTAAGTGCCACACTATCAGTCCTGAGCAATCAATCATCTCATAAAACCTAGGGTCCCCTTGCTGAATGAAGATCATCTACCTCACGTGAGGCCAATTGCTCCATGCAGCTAAATTAATTGACAAGGACAAAAACTACAGGTGACTCTAGGCCTGGCTTTAAGACCAGGGTCCTAATACACCCACCTAAGCCCCTTCTGTGAAACTTCCTTTACATTAGTAGGACTGAGGAACTTCAGCAACTGTACATCACTGTGGCTTCACCTGCCAGAATTTGCAGAATAATTATTTTTGATCTTCAACTCTGCCATTGCCCCAAATCTTCTGCTCCAGAGAGGTACCTCAGCCAGCACCAGCCCATCCCTCAGGATGATTTAGCCACTGAGGTTAGGGAAATCTTTAGGAAATCCAAGGGCAAACAATTCACACATTGGTACTGTTGTTATCCCCTCTGGAGCCTATCCTGCCCTTTTACTACCCTTCCTTTTTGCTTTATAATTTTTCTTACTGTGTCAATGAGTTAAAATTCTTATTAGTTCCTAAGGCCCACAAAAGTGTCCTAAGAAAGGTGAACCTTATTTTGCTTACTAGCCTGTATATATTTTTTCTCCTACATAATTGTTCTCTTTCCTGTTGCTCTGCTCTGGAATAAGATTTGAATGAATTACGAGTTGTGTCACCAAAAGAAGCTAGGCTGGGGCAGGGTCGCCGAGCGAGGGTTGGCCAGAAGTGTAAATCCAATCCAGTATTCAATACCAGGTTATTTATTCCACATTGTGTGATCCCAAGAAAATGTGCAAGTGGAGCAAAAGCATTTGTCTTTAAGCTCCTTCATCCTTAGTTGACTAGGTAAGAATTTCTGCTGGATCTGCAAGCTGGGCCAGCATTTCAGGGATTTTCGGGCTCCTCACGAATTACCTGTGTTTGTGTCAGTCCTAAGGAAGCTGCCAGTTCGGCTCTCTCAGGAAGGGCCAGGTACTGAGTCTGCTGAAAACGGTGGTTTAAAGCCTGTAGCTGCAGGCTGGAATAAATGGTCCGAGGCTTCCGAATCTTTTTCCCTTTTCCATTGAACCTGATTTCCCCATTTTCAATCACTGTGGTTTTTTGTTGATCTGTAAGCAAAAAACAAAAAACAAAAAACAAAACACACAGAAAAACGGTCACCCCTGAGGCCACTGCTGCTATCCCCCTGCGCTGGCTGGCTGGGCTTAGGTCGGGTTTTCCCCAAGCCTATTATGGGTTTCCTCGAAGTATCCCCTCACCGTCCAAATCTCTCAGGGTCCACTGTCCCCGTGTGTGCCCTGAGGGTGCCTAAGCTTCTCTCAGGCCCTGTCTCTGGCCCTAACGCTGCCCTGTGGCTGGACAGTGGGAGCACCGGGGGTCCTCGGTCCACTGGACGAGGCGCCGGTGGCTTTCTGAGGCTCCAGGCCGGGAGAGGCGTCAGTTCTCCGGGTGAGTGGAGTTCGCCGCTCGGCCTTACAATGCCCGCAGCTGTGCTTGAGCCAGGTGTTTCTGAGGCCAGTTGACTTGATGTCACCAGCTCCAAGCCCAGTGCATCAGGCCCCCTCGGCACGTTCAAAATGATTCTGCAGAGACGGACCCAAACCCCCAAACCACACATCACGCTTAGACCATTAGGCGCTTAGACCAGACCCGGAGCAGGCTGCGCCTCTCACGATAACTTAGCCCTTCGGGTATTGAAAGCCTTCAGCCCAAGGCCCTGTGCTTTGCCTCCACGAACAAAGGAGCAGCCAACACTGTACCGCAAACCCCGAAAGAAGGGGTCGGGTCCGGGTGGGGGAAGCCTCAAAGTCCACAGAAAAGAGCCGGATTGTCACTAGCTTAACCAGAGCCGCAGGCCACGCAGCTTTCCTCCAAGTCACCAAAGCGCACCGGGCGCACCAAGCAAAGTAGGCCAGTACCTGCCCAGCGTGGGCTGGAAAGCCAAACACACTCCCCAGTTTTGGCCCAGAAAGGTCCCCCACGCACTCCTGGCACACGCGGGCGGGTTACAGCCCGGAGGGAA